GCCTTGGAACTCAGCTCTGTCGCCCACCCAGCAGGGCTTCTGCCCTCTAGCCTTGGGCCAACACCCTTCCTTTCATCTCCTACAAGGGGGTGTTGCCAAGCTTGAGCCCACAGCCTATAGTCCCTGTGTACCCCTCAGCTACACCCACCGCTCTGCTCTGTGCTAATTTTAACCCTTCCTGAGCACTTAATATGTACAAGACACCACACTAAGCTCCTGGCCTGCTTGATCCCATTTACAAAGATGACTCTCGCTGAGCCTCAGTTTCCTCATCCATAAGATGGACATCATAACACACAAGGTCATGATCCCTGACTTGAAACCCTCGGGTCAGATGTGTTTGGGAACCCAAAAGTTTTTAAGTTTGAAAAAAGTGATGCAGGGCATGTGCCAGCCATGACGAGACGGTCCCAGCGGAGTCTGGGGCAGCTCTCGATGACAAACATGAACGGAGCTACCGTCAGAGTGTGAGTCTGTGCCCAGGTGCCCTCCGTGAGCTATGAATAGCCTCCTGCCAATTCAGGACAGGACTTGGTGCCAAATGAAGTCACTATAAACATTTTTTTCAACAACTTGGTTTTCAGAGCTATTTGGATTTTCCTTCTTGCAGAGGGGTCTGGTGTCCCTGTGGCAGGGTCAGGCCCCCAGCTGCTTGCAGGAGGAATTGAGGTGCCCACGTGGTACACACCCTGGGCCTGGCTTGGAGAGAGCCCTCAGTGGAGTTTGCCCCCTACCTTTTTTGTGGTGCTGGGAACTGGTGATTGAACCCAGGTCTGCTGTACCACTGAGATATGTCGTCAGCCTTTTTTATTTTACTTGAGACAGAGTCTTACTACATGGCTCAGGTTGCCCTTGAATTTGTAATCTTCCTGTCTCCTAGGTAACTGGTGTTATAGATGTGCATCACCGCAGTCAGTTAAGTCTTTCTCTTCTTACATCATTTCTTTATACTGCTGCCATCTGCCACCAGCTTTGATTCTAGCAACCCCAGAAATTCTTACCTAGAAATACAACCTTTTTCAAGTCCTATGGTGAAAAATGCCTTCGTGTTCTCCAAGCCTCTGTCCCATCTCTACCTGTGCCTCTCCTGTCCCCCGCACCTTTCCTACCTTTGTACCCTCTCATGGCTCAGCTGCCCCTGCCAGGCTGAGAGCTGCGATGGCCAACCTTGGTTCCCTCTGCACCCTCACACAGACCAGATAGGAGGGGTTGGCCTCTGTCTCTTGTTCCCTAGGTCTCTAGAGGACGAGGACTGGAATCCCGACTCCCTGTGCATCCTCACCCTCACAAGGAGGACCTGGACAGCCCCAGCCTCAGGGAGTGGGTCCCCCCCCCCAAGAAGGCCTGTCTGGTACCCTGCCTGTCTGGCCCCACCTGGCATCGGGGGCCACCCTGCCTTCATGCCTGGAGCAATTGTTTCCAGCATGTTACAACAGACCTCTGCCTTGCCCTGTGTGAGTCAGCCACCCCCACGCTCCCAGCTCCCCAGGAGCCTACAGGGTCTGGAAAATCCCCTCTCAGCTTGGCTCCTTCCTCTCTGGGCCGGGTCTCCTTCTAGCCCCTCCTCTGGGGCCCCGCCATCCAGCTGCGAAGTCTGCCTAAAGTACTGGGTTCCTCCAAGAGGAAGCCTGGCTCCCTCATAGCCGGACAGGGGCTGGGGGGCAGGAAGCCTGGGTTCTATTTCTGGCTCTGACCTTGGAGCCACTGATGGCCCTCCTTGGGACCTGAGGCACGCGCCACATGGGCCCTGGTTGCCCCCAGCTCAGCCATCCTGGGAAGGTCATCCTGGTCAGTTTGGGGATGGGGCCTGGCCAGCCCTGGGCTTCCTGGTACTGCCCTCTACTCTAGCCTCCTGGCCAGCCTGGAGGTCTAGCTCCAGCCTGTCTCCTTTCCTGCTAAGCAGAGGGCTGGAAATGGGTGGCCCTCCCCACAGTGACCCCAGGCCTCAGTTCCCTCCACTGTGCACGGGACACTCATAGTTGCTCAGCCACCTCAAAGGGTCTTTGTTGACTCAGATAAAAGGAAATATTCCTTAAACGTCACTGTGATGAGATCAGACAGCGCTGAGTGAAAGTTTGAGACCTGGGTTCGAGTCCCAGCATTTAGTAGGTGATGTGCTATCTGCTACATCTCCCATTCCTTATGGTTGAACACCTGCCACCCAGGCAGGGCAGGATCCCCCAGGCCATACTAAGTGCTCTGTGAACACCAGTTCTTATTCCCTGATTTGATCCTGGACTTGCCGAGTCTGATCCAAGTTCCCTTCTATGGTCAAGTCTCAGGCTCCTCGCTGCTCTTTCTGGGAGCCCTCTCCCTCCCCTCTGGCTCCTTCTCCCCTCTCCAATGTGAAATACAGCTGTTGGGACCTTTTGATCTTCAGCTCTTAACACATGAGGTCTCTGCTGGGGTTGACTTGGCCCTCTATACAGACCCTGAGCTGACCCCAGATCCTGGAGCCTTGAGGGGAGGGTTACGAGCAAGGGGAGGCTGGCATCTGAAGGCCCCAGCCTGGGGTCTCTGGAATTGGGAGGCCTTCTGACCAGGCCCCCATGTGCTCAGATTCTCTTTCCCCTCTCGCTGCAGATGTGTGTTCCTGGCATTTTTTTCCATGTTGGATCTCACTTTGCTATTTCCTGTCCAGTTCCAGCCTCCCCCACTTCCCTGGGAAAAGTTCCGGACCTTGCTCACCACCGGGGTTTTCCTTTCCAGACAGCAGTGTCTAGTGGGAGCCAGGAATCTAACTGCCCTGTGCTTGGCCTCCAAGGCCTTGCTTGCATGGGGAGGGGAAGGGGGTGGCAATGACATAGAGCTGGTTCCCTCAGACCACTTGAGCTCTAAGTTAGGACCCCTGTGCCAGCCCTAGTCTCATACTCCCTTTAAGTCAATAAGGCCTGCTCAGGACCCACCCTCCGGCCAGTGGGAACCTTGCCCTCTACTCCTAGTCAGGGAAAGCTGGAGAAGCCTGAGTCAAGGTCTTCTCTTGTGGCTCTCAGAGTGCTCTGGGCCTGCACAACTATGATCTGACCTGGGATAAGAGCCTGCCTCAGGGACTCTGAGAAGAGGCCTGGGAATTGGTATGTTTCTCCAGCCTTGGAGGTTCTTAAGCCACACCCTGGAGGCAGACAGGTAGACATGGCCACCACTCAGGACAGGGACGGGCAATTGTGTGGTGGGAAGAAAAGGAGCAGGAGCTGCTGCCCCTGGGCTGTTGGGTGGGGTCATCAAGTCACAGCAGAGAGCAAGATGGGGGCAATCTGGGTTTTACCCAAGTGGATTGGAGCCTCTGCCCCCAAGAGAGTTCACAGCCTGGGAAGGGGATGTGGACAGATTACGTAAGAAAGAGAATTCCTCTGAAGGAAGTTCTTTTCAGGAAGCCAGGGAATTGATGGCGATGACGTCCAAGCACTGACTGAGCCACAGGCACTGAAGGTGGATATGCATCCATCTCAGCCGCTGCCTTCCAGGTGCTTCCATTCATTCCAGGCTAGGTACACAGTAACCAGACCCAGCCTGGGCAGAGTTTCTCCTCTTCCCTGGGTTGTGGATTACCCACAATACAATGCGGTGCTAGAAGTGTGCAGGTCAGTAGTGAGAACAAGAGGGAGGTACCCAGATCGGCACCCAAAGGCTTCCTTTGTGCCCCTTCCTGGTCACCCCAGCCTAGCTCTGGGCCCAGGACACTGCTATTTTTTTTTTTTTTTTTTTTTTTTTTTTATCACTTAGTGTGAGATGTTTCCTCCTAAGGTCCCCCAAATGGACTCAGGGAGTGTGTGATCTGAGGTCATCCACTGTTACCTCAGCACTTAAGAATTTGATATCAAGCTGAGTCTTGAAGGGTGAGGGGGAGTTGGCCATACACACGGAGGATGGATGCCCCTGCAGAGGGACCATGGCGGGTACATGGGAGAAGGGCAGAAGTGTGAGGGGCTGTGACCGGTGCAGTGGGACAGTTGGCTCTTGCGTTTGGTTCTTCCTGTGGCCTTGATGCCCTGGTGGCCGCTGGGTCTGGTTTTCACAACCCAGGCTGTTTCCCTAGGCCTGGCTGGGCTTCTAGGAGGAGGCCAGGCCAGGCCTCGGGGCCTGGTGCCTGGACATCTGGATGCTGCTGCCCACGTTGCTGTGGATGTTGCCAGACCTGCCTGGTGCTTGTGGCCTCCTGAACCCTTGGGCTTCCCTGTGTTTGTTTTCATCTAAGTTGCCTGGAAAACTCCTTCAGAAACATCTCCACTTTGTCCGAGGGTGTCCACCCACACCTGAGAAAGGCACGTGTTGCAGCGCCAGCCTGCATGCAGGGCCCCGCAGCCCCTCTAAGGACAAGTGCCAGGCAAAGCTTGTGCGGGGCTCAGTGTTGGCCTGAGGTCACACAGAGCTGACATCACGCCTCTGCCCAGTCACTGGGCTCTGCCCTGAGGGCCCGGTCACTGTGGCTGTGAGCACCAGGGTTCACTGCCCAGCCCAGTGGAATGTGTTCCCTGTGGACCAGCGGCTTGTTGGCCAGACTGAGGCAGGAGGAGGTGGAAAGCATGAGCTGTTGGAGGCAGCAGCCTAGATCACCGTGCCTCAGTTTCCACCCATGTGCCCTCTGCTGCTGCTGGCCCCCCTTCTACCTGCCTATGGCCCCTGTATTTGCTGGCCCAGGTCATCCCTTGAATGCCTTGTCTTTCTGTCCATTCATTCATCCTCTCCTAGCTGTCCCTCTCCTTCTCCAAAGAAAAAGGGATCAGCATTGCCACAGTGATTATTTGCTTATCTGCCTTATTTTGAAGTTTCATTCAGAACTTGCAGGTTTAGAAGCCTGAGGCCTCCAGAGGCTCATGAGATTTGGGGAAGCTGAGTCAGAAAGTCAAAAACAGCCTGGCTCTCTTCACCAAACTAAGTCTAATTTAGCCACTAACTTTTGGAAGTGAAACTCTTGGTGTCTCTCTACCCCTGTGAGAGAAGGGGCTCTGGCTTGGTGGAAGCTGGGTATGGGACTTGATGGCCTCTGTTGTCCCTCACAGGTGACTCATGGGCTGAGGGCATATGATGGCCTGTCACTGCCTGAGGACACGGAGACTGTGGCAGCAGGCCGGGCTGGCTGGAGCTATTCCTACCTTTCCGACGATGAGGACTTGCTGGCTGACGATGCGTCCGGGGGTAAGTTGCAGGTTCTGTGGAGGGTAGGGTGGGGTCATCATGGCTCTTCAGGCTGGCCCTGCACGAGACCTATGATGTTCACCGCAGGTGGAGTCAGAGGAGTGGGTTGTGTCAGGCAGGGTGGTGTGTGACTGTGATACTGGTCTCACATCACCGGTCCACTTAAGGGAAGAGAGACTTACTTTGGCTCACATGGTCATAGGCTCCATTGTTCCCAGGCCCATGGTGAAGTAGAGCCTCATGGCAGGAAGTGTGTGTGCAAGCAAAGCAGCCCCCTCATGGCAAAAGGGCACAGTGGAGGGAAACAGCTCCCCTCGAGGCAGCCAGGATCAGCGAAGGAGCGAGGAAGCTGGAGAGGAAAGGACCTGAGACAAAATAGTGCCTTCCAAGCCACACCATCGTGACCTACTTCATCCTGTTAGGCCCACCTGCTACGTTTCCATCACCTCCAACAGTACTGTCACATTGCGATCTTGTCAATGGATGGATCCACAGATGGAGTTAGGACCCTCATGGGCCCATCACCTGCTGAAGGCCCCACCTCTGTGCACCTGAGACGTTTCAGATCTGAACCATAATTCTTACAGTGCCATCTACTCAGGAGGTTGAGGAAGAAGGTTCACAAATTCGAGGCTAGCATAGACAATTTAGTAAGACCCTGTGCCAAAATAGAAAATAAGGGCTAGGTGGGGCTGGTGAGATGGCTCAGTGGTCTAAAGCACCTACTTAGAACAAGCTTAGCAAAGCACAGGGACCGCGGTTCAATCCCCCAGCACCACATGCCAGCCAGCCCCGCCCCCTGGTGGGCTGAACTGCCCACACACACACACACACACACACACACACACACACACACACACACAAATAAATAAATAAATTTTTAAAAAAATTAAAAAAAAAAAAAAGAAAAGAAAAGAAGGGCTAGGGAGACAGCTCAGCAGTCTAAGCACCTGCCTAATAAGCACAAGGACCCGAGTTCTATTCCCAGTACTGCATGCTGTGCCAGCCCCAGAACCGCAGGCAAGCCATGCCAGCCCCGAACAGGCATGGTGGTGCATGCTTATAATTCCAGTGCTGAGGAGGCTGAGACAGGAGGATCACTATGAGTTTGAACTGTGTAGCGAGACCTTGTAACAAATAAATGGAAATTAAAAGTAAAAATAAAAGAAAGAAAAAGGGCTGGGAGTGTAGCTCACCACTCCCTGGATTCAGTTCTCAGTGTTTGAGAAAAAAAATTTTTAAAAATTTTTAATTAAAATTTAGTCACCCGGTCCTGGTGACTAGCATCCACTACTTAAAAGTTGTGTGACCTAGGACTGACCAGATAGCTTAGTGGACTAAAGCGCCTGCTTAGGCAGAGGCAGGGACCAGGGTTCTGTGCTGTCCCTGCCTCCAGGGCATGCTGAGATAGCAACTGAGAATGGGTGTGGTGGCATGTGCCTGTAATCTCAGAGCTGGGGAGGCTGAGATAGAAGGATCACTATGTGTCTGAGCTGCATACCAAGACCTTATACCAAATAAATAAATAAATAAATAAATAGTTTTTTTTTTAATGTGTGTGTGTGTGTGTGTATGTGTGTGTGTGTGTCTGTGGCCAGCTCAGGCCACCAGGGGGCAGGGCTGGCTGGCATGTGGTGCTGGGGGATCGAACCGTGGTCCCTGTGCTTTGCTAAGCTTGTTCTAAGTAGGTGCTTTAGACCACTGAGCCATCTCACCAGCCCATAAATGAATAGTTTTAAAATTTTGTTTAAATGTACCTCTAGCCTACATAGTAAGACACTGTATTTAACAAACAAAATACTTGGATTTTTAGAGCAGATTTCTCAAGAGACAGACAGCTGATCTTCAAACCATTTAATCAATATTTATTCTTTCAGCAATTCTAGGAGTTTGCATATTTCATAGCGGAGAACTCTACTCTTTTTCTTTCTTTCTTTCTTTCTTTTTCTTTGTTTCTTTAGCAAAGATTTATTGGGCCAGCCAGATAATTCAGCTAACTAAAGCACCCGCTTAGGCAGGCCCAGCAACCGGGGCTCCATCTCGGGCATGCTGTGCCGTGCCAGCCCTGCCCCCAGGATGGCTGAAACTAGGTGTGGTGGTGCCTGTCTTTAATGCCAGTGCTTGGGAGGCTGAAAACAGGAGGATCACTACTAGTCCAGTCTACATAGCAAGACCCTGTAGACCCTGTACTAAATACATTAAAAAAAGGGGGGGGGCTGGTGAGATGGCTCAGTGGTCTAAAGCACCTACTTAGAACGAGCTTAGCAAAGCACAGGGACCGCGGTTCAATCCCCCAGCACCACATGCCAGCCAGGGCCACCCCCTGGTGGGCTGAGCTGGCCACACACACACACACACACACACACACAAATAAATAAAAATTAAAAAAAAAAAAAAAACCTCACATGACCTTGGGGTGGCCCCAGCGCCTCACTACAACCCAGGATTGGGACCCACAGGGAAGGTGGCTGGCAGTGCATAATACAGGATGCTTCCCCATCCTGCTGCTCAACCTCCTCCTCTCCTCGAGGGTAACCGTTCTGCACCTACCTGACCCTGCCCCTTCTGGGTGGGAGGCCTCCGCAGTGCCTGACACCCAGTCGGCACTCACCAAGTATTATTGCTGAAGAAAGCCTCTCTTTTGTTTGCAGATGGCCTGGGCAGCGGGGACCTGGGCAGCGGGGATTTCCAGATGGGTAAGTTGTTGCGAGCATCCCCCAGGCCCCATTGAGCCCCACAGCAGGCCTCTGAACCACAGAGGGCCCATCTCCTGGGCTGGGGGCCTCGAGGGCTGTTTGGGTCTGTCCTGGGTGGTGCATGGTAAGAAGCAGGGATGGCCTCTTACACGCTAAGTGACAGTTGTGTGGACATTGAGGATGACCAGGATCTGTGTCTGCCTTTATCATAAGCACAGCACCAGGGGCAGTAGACACAAGTCGCTGAGTTCTGATGGGGACTGAGCCCCGAGCTACTTGGCATTCAGTGTAGCCTGGGCGTCCTCAGGGCTGGGGCTTCCCTCAAGCTAGTGGGTCAGGGGCATCCTAACTAGGCCAGTGCTGGCAGGAGGGTTGGCCCTGGGGTAGCCTGGCTCTAACCATGACCCCCCAGCCCTGGGGCTTTCCCTTGGAAAGTCTCTGCCTCGGCTTTCCCTTGGGGCTGTCTGTGCAGGGTACAGGGAGCCTGGGAGCAAGGTAAGGCCCCTAAGGGGGAGTGTCAGCTGTGTCCTAGGGATACTTGTCACCTCCTCGAGTGGCCTGCAGAGGCTCTGCTCTAGTCTTCCCTATCTATCTAGCATCGAGGCCCCTCCCGTGGACCGCCAGGCAGCCATGCCCTCTGCCGTCTGAGTGGTCCTGCAACCTTCCTGTCTTGATAAGCAGCTAGGAGGCCGGGGATGAGGGAAGAGAGGGGATGGGACCAGCAGCTGAGGGCCCCAAGGCCAGGGCCCCGGCTTGTCTTGTGAGTGGGCTGATCAGTGGGAAGAGGAAGGTCTAGATCTCCAGGGCTGGGCTGAACCTTAGCTGGGAGGCAGCAGGTAGGTCTTCGTGATCCCCAGCATGCCTGTGCCCACTGTAGACCCAAGAATGGCACCTTCTGTGCCCTGGCCAGGAAGGGCCATGCTGAGCCATGGGCCCAGCCTGCCTCTCCTAGGCAGGGCTGTGCTCCCTGGCTGTGTGTGTCAGCGCCTTCCCAGACAGCGTGATCTGCTCCCCTCCCTAGGCCCCTTCCACCTCCCTGCCACCTCTCCTGCCGTCCCGTCTCTTTTTGCCTGGCCCACCCTAGTTGCTGTGGTTGTACCTCTCTACCTCTTTTTCTCTCTCCCCCCGGCCTGCCTTTCTCCCCCCATTCTTCTTTGCCCCCTCATCTCTGGGTCTTAGTGTCCGTGCTTCTCTCCATTTCCCTTCACCTTACCACCATTCCCACCCCCCGCAGGCTCAGGCCCACCCCTAGGTGACAAGGAGTCTCCCCTGGTCAACGGCCTCCCTTCCAGCTGCACTGGGGCGCGAGTCATGTAGGAGGCTCAGAGTCATCTCCCTGCTATCTGGACCCGAACAACTCCTGCTCCAGCCCCATCTGACCTTATAGATGGGAATCCTGCGGCTGGGACCCTGCTGTCCCTCCTCAGGGGCCTGGATGGGAGTAGGGGAAGGCAGTACCCCTCAGGAAACAAGGCTCTGGAGTCTGCACCTGACAGCAGGCTGACCCTGGGCCACTTAGGGACCCAAAGAGATCCCAAGCTGGAGACACAGTGCAGGGTGTGACCAGTTCTGCTGAGCAGGGAAAGGCAATGAGGAGTTGGAGTGGCAGGGCTTGTTTAGGTGGGTACGTGCCTGCTCTCCTCCCTCGTCTCCATCCTCCAGCCTCTGGTCTCAAATGAGCTCTCCAGGTACGGTCAGAGGCCAGGTGAAAGATAGTTGGTCAGGGCAGGCACTGAGCTGCCTCAGCTCTGCGGTACTTTCTGAAATCCATGAGCCCCGCCGTGTGCCCCAGCCCCCAGGCCCTCCAAGGGCAGCAGGGCAAGCTGGAGAGCAGGCGCTTGCCCTGACCTGCCCTGCTGGTCTGGGAGAAGTGGGTAGGCCTGGGCTGGAAGGTCTGTGCTCCTTCCAGGTCCTACTAGAAAAGGGCTTTGTGGTGCCCCAGCCCCCTCCCCGGAGCAGCCACATTCCTGGGCAGAGGCCTGGACTCCTCACCCGCCAGAGCCGTGGGCTGAGGCCAGGGCCTAGGGTGGGGGGACTCTCAATGGGCCTCTGTGCTGGTTCACAAGGGGCCTCTGTGGTGGAGTGCACGGCTCCTACACATGCTGTGGCCCACAGAGCCCCACCATCCATCACCCCAGAGCCCAGCCCTGTCCCTATGGTTATAAACACCCTCTCCTGGACCCAGACCCCCCCCCCCCAGGGCTCTCTTAGTCACAGAGGGAGAGAGAGTCCTGGCAGACAGAGAGTAAAGTGAAAGACTCCCTGCTCTGACACCCACATTTGCCATCTGTCATTTCTCAGGACACACTTCTACCACAGGGCCTTCATAATTGCTCTGCCCAGACCCGTGTCTCTCAACAGCTCTGTGGCTTTGCCCCTTCCTTCTCGTAGCCCCTTCAAGAGAGGACTTCCTGCTCACCCACACTTCATAGGCCCTCTGCCTCCTTGTTGGTTTTTTGTAGTCCATATATGTTCAGACCCTTTGTTTTCTTTTCCTTTCTCCCTGCGCCGCAGGCAATCCCTATGAGGAGAGAAATTTTCATTTATGGACACACTACTCTGTCCCCTGCCTATCGAACACCACCTGGCACACAGCAGTGCCTGCCTCAGGTGACAAGAAATAAAGCCAAGTCCATCCCCAGGCTTTCCCCTCAAGATCAGGGTTAATAATGGTCCTGCCGTTGTCCTTGTGTCGCAGCTGAGGACATAGGGTTCAGAGAGGTCAGACACTTGCCCAGGATCGCTTCTGTCAGTGGCACTGTCACTCGAGGGGCTGGGCTTTTAACCACTGGCTTGCACCACCTCCCTGTCCTGTGTCAGGCTGGGCTCTAAACAGGCACTTTGTACCTGTGTAAGGGTCCTTTGCAACTCATGTTAACTTGGCATTTATAATTTATACTTTAATTCATGAATATTGTGAGATTGAATGCAGTAAGGATCTTGTACCTAACAGATTTTCACAAAATGATTGGGGTCATATTTGTATATGTGCACCACAGTTTCCATATACTACAGATATGTGATGTGGATTAATTCAGCTATCATTTTTCCAATATCTACTATGTGCTGGGCTATGTCTATGTGAACATGTGTTTATGTGTGTGTGTGTGTGTGTGTGTTTATGTATGTATACAGAGCTCATACATACATATGTATATATGATGCTATGACAAAATACCCGAGATAATCAACTTAAAAGGAGGAAAGGTTTGCTTGGTTCGCAGTTTCAGAGGTTTCCATCCCTGATCACTTGGCCTTGTTGCTTTGGCCCTGTGGCAGAAGCACATGGCAGAGACCTTCTCACCTCATGGCAACTGAGATGCAAAGAGGGGGAAGAAGAGTCCCAGTGTCTTCTTTGAGGTCATGTCCCCTGTGACCTAACTTCTCCAACTAGACCCCACCTCCTGATGCAGACCAAACCTGCAATCCATGGACCTTTGGTGGACATTCGTGATTCCCACCATAGCAAACATCAGGAAATGTCATGGCCTCATGTAGAGTAGGTGCCCACAGCACAACAGTGGTCTGGGTGTGCCCACACCAGGGAGGTGGGAACCTGATCACCATTACTCTGTAGGGCATGCTGTGTGCCAGGCACAGCGTGAGCTCTGGGGCTCAGGGTGGCTGACACCCAAGGTCCCCTTTTGTGAAAATCACAGTCTGGTGGAGAGAGAGGAAGACAAAGCACAGCTCCTGATTCACGGGGCTTACGCAGTGCCTGAGAATAGCCATACATGTGAGCATGATGTCCTTTACTCCTCACTGTCACCCAGGGTGGTCAATGCAGTTGACAACTGTCCTTCACCGTGAAGGAAACAGGTTCAGAGGGGCGGGGTCAGTGCCTAGGTGTGGCTGACTCAGCACATGATGGTTCCTGTGCAGATCCCTGGCCTGTCCATGTCCAAGCGTAACTGCCAGGGTCTGTGGGGATTGTGGGGGCAGAGGCTGAGGAGCCCAGAGGAGGCAGCTCAGGCATCTCCATGGAGGAAGTGACGGCAGCGCTGCATCTTGTGGGACGTGGCTAGGGAAGTCTGCGGAGGCATGACCTGGTCACACCTGCAGGGTCCCTGTGGCCAGCCAGCCTCCTCTGCAGACCACCCTTCCTGTCCAGCCTTCCTCTGAGTGTTGTGTGCCTCCTCTTTTCCGCTATCACTTGGTTTCTAGGTCAGGCCATTTTCCATGTGAGTTAAGCCCCTTGCTCCAGATGGGCCTCAGGGTGGAGCCCTAGACAGGCCTGCTGGGCTACCCTAGGGCAGAGCCCCCACGGGCAGTGTGGCCCAGCTATGGACCCTCAGGTCTCAGCCCATGTGGGAGGCTTTCTGGCACATCCCCCCATTTCTGTCCGCTGGTCCAGCTGCCTGAGGCTACCACATGCCAGGCCGCTGACACCTCTCTCTTTCCTACAGTGTATTTCCGGGCACTGGTCAATTTCACACACTCTATTGAGTACAGCCCTCGGCTGGAGGACGCAGGCTCCAGGGAGTTCCGAGCTGTGTCAGAGGCTGTGGTGGACAGGGTATGATGAAAGGGCTCAAAGACCATGGGGAATTAGGGGGGTCAGGGCCACAGATGGGGAGGCATCTGGTGGCTGATGTGCCATGTCCCTTGCCAGCTGGAGTCGGAGTACTTGAAGATTCCTGGAGACCAGGTCGTCAGTGTGGTGTTTGTCAAGTGAGAAGGGTTCCCCCGGGGACAGGCAAGGGGCTTGGGCTGGCCTGGAGAGGCTGGCGAGGCCAGGCCTCAGCAAAGAGCGGAGAATTCAAGCCTCTTCCTTCCCTGCCCCCTGCCCAACTCCTCCCCAGGGAGCTGGATGGCTGGGTCTTCGTAGAGCTGGATGTGGGCTCAGAAGGGAATGCAGATGGGGCTCAGATTCAGGAGGTGCTGCACATGGTCGTCTCTGGGGGCTCCATCGGCCCCTATATCACCTCGCCCCAGGGGTTCCAGTTCCGACGCTTGGGCACAGGTGAGCCTCTCCTAGAACTAGGGACCACTGCCTCACTTTCTCAGAATTGTGTGCATCTCCTCTCAGGGTTTCCACCGTGGGCGGTCCTACTAGCATGGGTTTGCACACCACTAGGAGAAGGAGCTCACGACCTCCTGAGTCTCCCCTCCAATCTCTGTGGCCTTAGGTAGAGCAGAGAGTGCTTCCTCTAGCAAGTATACACCAGGCCCAAATCCTTCTGTCTCCCTATACCCTGCCCGTACGAGTCCCTTCACCTAACAGTACTTGTAAGTGCAAATGACTTGCATTCACTCATAACCAACCCTGGTTTCCTGAGCACAGAGTGGATGTCAGGCCTTTGTATTCGGGCTCAGCCCAGGTTGCTTGTCGCTGTCCCCTGTCTTGTTTCAGCCTGTGAGTCTTTGGGCCGGTTCTAATTCATTCTTGTGGGTGGTGATCCTCACCCTGTCCCATTTCAGTGCCCTCTGTGGGAAGGCTCCACCATGTCACCCTGTGCGTTCCACTCAGGACCCCCAGAACTGAACAAATTGAATCCCTACCTTAGTTTAACCCAATCAGGAAAGAATTCATGGTCCATCACCTTCTTTCTTCTGCACATAGAAGCTTCAGTTAGTGCACCCAGAGGTCTCTGTTGGCTTCTCCAGACCCAGGTCTAAAGATTGCTGGGTGCCCAGACTTCTCCACTTTCCAAGGACTCCTCCTGGCTGGGGGTGGTGGGGCGGTCGGCTCAGCCCTCAGCTCCCAGGTCCCAGGTAGCTGGCTGCTGACCACACCTTCCTTTCCAGCACAGACCCCCCCACCTCAGCCAGCTGCTGTGGGGGTCACAGTGACCCCAGGTGAGAGTAGAAGCCTCGCCAGGTCCAGTGGGGAACAGAGAATTTAGTAGCTGGAGAGAAAGAAGGACAAAATCCAGATCACTGGGCCACCTTCTGCCCTCCTCCTCTGTCCTCACTGGCCCCGGCTGTGGCTTGCATGTGTGTGGTGTGATGGTTGCATGTATATGGCATGTCAACTGCATACAGCTCTATGAAAGGGGCGGGTGAGGCCACTGCCACATGTCCTACGCCTGGTGTGTACTCTGGTCGTGTCCACCCAATGCTCCTTACCCTCACCTTCTGCTACAGTGGCCTGACACAGGCCCGAGGTCCCCTCACAGCCATATGGTCCCTGTGCTGTGTCACACCCTCCAGCAACTGCAAACTTGCACCTCTGACCCACTCCCACTCTCACAGTACCCCAGTTCCCAAGAGTGTGCACCGAGGCTGAGTTTGCCTGCCACAGCTACAATGAGTGTGTGGCCCTGGAATACCGCTGTGACCGGCGGCCTGACTGCAGGGACATGTCTGATGAGCTCAACTGTGGTGAGGGGCTGTCTGGGAGCACAGGCCAGGGGGCCTGAGGGTGCGGGTGGGGCATGAAAAGTGGGTGGGAGGGTCAGGGCAGGGGGTGCAGCAGGGAGCAGACTTGAGGGGCACAGGGAGAGTCTGGGAACTGCAAGGCCAAGGGGTGAAGAGTCCTCTGCTAACCACCTGGCACCCTTTGTCCACAGAGGAGCCGGTCCCTGAGGTCAGCTCCGTGCCATCGGTAGTTGTGGAGACATCGCCTTTAACACACAGGCTACCAGAGGCAACCACCACACAGTGGCCAACATATACCCACCGTCTCCAGACTCTGCTTCCCCATCTGGCCACACGTGTGCCCTGTGAGCCCCACGAGGCCGCATGCCACAGTGGCCACTGCATTCCCAGAGACTACCTCTGTGACGGTCAGGAAGACTGCAAGGACGGCAGCGATGAGCTGGGCTGTGGTGAGCCACAGGCAGAGGCTGTGGGAACTGTGTCAGGTGCTGGCCAAGGAAGCTGCTGCTGAGCACCACTTTGTCCTACAGGGCCACCCCCACCCTGTGAGCCCAACGAGTTCCCCTGTGGAAATGGACACTGTGCCCTCAAGTTGTGGCGTTGTGACGGCGACTTCGATTGTGAAGACCGCACTGATGAGGCCAACTGCCGTGAGTGTTCCCTGGTGCCGCTGGCCTGCCTGGCCCAGGCCATTTGCACCCCATCCCTACCAGACAGGTGTTGGCCTCCCTGGAGACAGAAGTCAAGATTGGTCTCTGGTCTGGACAGGTGGTACACACCTGTAATCCCAGATGCTTAGGAAGCTGAGGCAGGAGCATTGCAAATGCAAGCCTAGCTGGGTTACACATAGCAAGACCCTGTCCCAAACTATATATATATA